GATCAATTCAGAGCGATTTTTGAATTGTTTAATAAAAACGTGATTGCCGCGGTTTTGTCGATTAAGCAATGAAAACAGCAGCAACCATCGGGAGAGAAAAAAAATAGAGCAAAATATGAAAAACAACAACGATTGAAAGAAGACGAAAAACAATGAGCCTCGAAATCTATTAAAGATTCAGTGATTCAATCGAATTGTACAAACTGTGGCGGTTACGAACACAGTTCGGACCAAGTAATATCAAATATTTTATTCTGACTTTATGCCATCCAATTTGAAATGGGCTTGAACACATTCAATATATTTATATAGTATATTAAACTGACATCAAAAAGTAAAAGCTAACGATAAATTGGATTCGGCGATGAGGAGAAGAGAGACGGAAAGAGGCGACAGGGAGAGACAAAAAAAAAACGAATTGACGACGGCACATACACAGAAGCCCCAGTGTGCGTACACACAGCTAAAAAGTCATACAGAAATAAAAATGACGAATAAAATTATAGACGAATGAAAAAAACGACGACGACGACGACGAAAAAAAAACAGAAGTATAGAGAGAAAAACTGAAAAAAAATATTGCAGCAAATGGCAACAACAAAATCATTCGAAGCCAGATCCAAATACATTTGCGTTGAACGTTTATTACGAAAACGAATTTTTCGTCATGAACTAGATACAGTTTGTTAGTCTTTCCACCTATTTTGTGTGTATCTTTTTTTTTGTGTGTGTTTAGTGAGCGGGCATATCGTCGAGAGAGCCATTGCTACTGCGGCGGCCGTTTACAATCGGCTCACAGCAGTGGAATCGTTGAGATTTTCAGACGATTCACTACGCGAAACTACGTTGTGTGTGTGTGTGTGTGTGTTTGTGTATTTATGTGATTGCTGTCGCCGATTTGTATTTGTGTCGTGCAAATTAAGCTGTTGTGTTGGTGTTTTCATTGCCTCGGAATGAATTTTTTTCTTCTGTTTCTGATCATAACTTTGTACGAATCCACACATAAATGTCGAAGTAGACATAGCGATTTAAGCTAAACAGCCATACTCGCCAAGTGGAATGAGTCAAAAAGTTTTTGCTTTGAATATGAACGCGTTGTGCGCGCACCCGCGAATGATCCGCAAACATTAGAATTGATAATTTAGCACAAATACATACTCATAACACACAATGAGCGTATTCGAACTCATAGTCGGACATAGAGCATGGCCATATTTTTTTTTGGAAACTTTGCAACATACACAATCAAAATATGGATTGTTAGCGAGTTGTGTTTTTTCTCAATGGATTCAAACGATATTGAACGGTTACGCATTTTATTATGCATAAGTTCAATTATTATAGCTGAGAAATGAAATCAAATCGAAATGAAAAGACCCCGAAAAATTGAACAATTTGAAAGCGACGGCTTCACATTAACAAGCTAAAATAAAAGCTGTTTCTAGTTTTATGTTCACCACTGTCAAGTATCTGATCACAAAATGAGTTCATTTTTTTATGCGCTTTTTTCTCTTCAAACGGATTTCAAGTACTTTTTTTCTGTTACTTTTGTTGTTGTTGTTGTTGTTGTTGTTGTGGCTTTGATGAACGAACAAATGAAAAAAATGTATTATAAAAATGGGTCCATGGAAATTCGTAGCTCTTGACACTTTAATATATTGCATCAGTTGGCATGAAATGAAGCAGCACACGCTCAATGTTCAATTTCAATGAAGGAAACATGATTCACCTCTAAAAATTCAATGTGTAGAAAGTTGTTCAACTCAATTATATGTATGCTTGACATTTTCGGGTGATTAGTCAGATGTTTGAGTATGCTTCGTTCAGTGTACTGTGTATATTTGTCACATACAATTTTATTATTATTTATACTTTTACTTGTGTGCTTGAGTGCGATTGCACAATAAACTGAATTTACTTTCATGACCAAACGAAACAGTTCAATACCGCATAAGAATACCATTTCCATGTTATTATTTTGTCTTTTTTCACAAGACCATAAAGACCGAATGAAGCGAACATGGCATGGGAGCACTCGGTCGAGCGTGCACAGCACACGTACACACGCACCGTCGTTTGGTTCCGTGTTGTGTGTGTGCGCGCGCGACAATTTCTCAATAAGCATGCGTACATAATGCATATATTTACATTTCGAATGTTGCGCTGCTTTTTCTAATTTTTATATGTTTTCATTTTCGGTGTTTTGCTTTGTGAATGATTGTGACAAAACCGACACACACACACACACATATCATCCTCATCATCATTATCATCATTGCATGGTTTATTGCTTAATTTTTGTTGTCATATAATTTTGGTGTTATACGTGTGGTTATGCATCGTCAATAGGATGGCAAATTAGCGAATGTGCAAACAATGATTGTTATATCATTAGATGTGGTTGAAATAGGCTCTCATCGAAATGATGATGATGCTGCTGTTGTTGCTGTTGTGACTGTTGTTGCTCTCATATGCTAAATTTTCACGAACAAAAGCAAAGAAATGAAATGAGATATGAGCAACTGTGATCTGTATAAAGTTGCCGGCGTCACCTCTCTTTCTCTTTCTCCTCTATCCTCTTCATTTCACATAAAATAGATACATACATAGTCATCCAGGCATAATTTCAATATTCACATACATGTATGCACATAGATAGATAGATAGATAGATAGATAGATTGATAGATAGATAGATAGATATTCCATTTTGAGCGGTCACGCAATTGTACAGCACAAGTCAATGATCTCAAATTTGGATTAAGGACACTTGGATGAACAACGATCAACTGAAAACGTCAAAAATGGGCGCGTGCGCCATATGTGTTGCTTATGAATATGTGAAGTAACCGTATATTCAATTGTAATTTTTCTTCTGGGGCAAATGTTTGTCTCGCGCACTTTCATCGCTTCGTTCGCTTTTGATGCTACTACTGCTGCTGTAGCTTCGTTCGACTACTTTTTTTTTTCTTTCTTTCTCTCATTTACTCTGCTTGTGAGCATGTGGAAAATTGTGTTAAGGATATATCAATGAAATCCATATAATACTGTGTCCTTTAGAAATCGCGCGACTTTGCGATTTGTTCACAATTACTCTGTGCTTCATTGCACACTTATCATTTTATATGCTTAAAAAACACATTTGTGTCCGCATAATCATTTTAAAGGCCAACAGTGAGAGAGAAAAAGTTGTCCGAGTATAGAAGGAAAATGTTAACATTTTCCCTCTATACTCGAACGGTGTATGGTGAGAGTAAAAATGTTGTTGAAAATTTACAACAATTTTGCTGCATTGAAGAAGAAAAAACCAAACAATCCATACATCTATCTCTTTTTCTCTTGCGCTTATTTCATGGAAATCATTCATTCCCGATTTGTCTTTTTCTCTAACTCGCCAGCAACAGTAGTTCAAAGACTCGAGGGAGAGAGCGCGAGTGGGAACGAGAGAGAGAGAGATGAACACGCTCATTTGAATGCTTTGAGACGTTTATACGAAAGGAATAAATAAATAAAGAGTTAGCGAGTGAGCGAGTTACATTGGCGCTGCCCTGAATAGAGTTCAAATTGATTGTGACCTAGTTACGCGGTCAACGAACCTCAGTTTGTTCGGCTTGCGGGAGCACAGCAATTTATATACAATTTTATTAGCGCTCGTTTCACATACAAAAACACACACACACACACATTCACAGCGAGAGAGACACAAGCGTTCATATGGAGAGACATATTCATAGCAAGAGCGCGCGAGACTGAAGCACGAATTTAATCGCTTCGTTTCGCTTGCACTCACTTGACGACCACGGTGTTCTGTCTCATGTCGATGTGCGCGCGTGTATGTATGTGTGTGTGTGTGTGTATGTATGTATGAGTTTTGGGTTCACCAACATTGGATGTGTTGGCTGAGAAAGAGAGAGTGGTTTCTTTTTTTTCTCTATCCCCCCATTCAGCATGGGTATTTGTTAGTGTCATTGCTTTAGACTATGGATCAACAGTGAAGTAACCGTACGAGTGTTTCGAGTCGTATGCGCGCACATATTGATATGTATGTACAAAGCAAATTTCCACTCGAACTCAAATCTAAACCAAACGTCTAAAGATACGTTGTTGTCGTCGTTGTTGCTTTTTTTTCTCTTTGAAAAACTATTACTGCGCTGATTATGCAATGTGCTTCTGTAATATGACCGAAGAAGTAAATATTTGATGAAGCGAAGAGAGAAAAAAGTAGAAACAGCAGCAGCAGCAGCTACCAAATGTTTAGCTTGAGAGAGTGAGCGAATCGTGTGATATTCACGCTATGGTGTTATGTGTGCGAAGTCACATGTAGTCACACATAACGCACGTATTGCACATTTTAAAACACATAGATTACACATTTTTTCTCTCTATATACACATCTATAAAATTATAGGAATCACTTTCCATTGCGCACGCTTGCTGCTACTGGCTATTGCGAGCGCTTGTATATAAATTCTTTTGCTCGTTACCTCACTTCAGCACATATACCATTTTGGTGTTTCATATCAAAACTTAAAATTGTGCGAACTCTATGTGCGCGCTTATACATACGCTCACGTATTTAACTATAGCGCTACCAACTATAAAAGTGCTTAAAATCCGCATGTGCTTCTATTTTCTGCTACTTGCGATTTATATCGTTTTGCATCGCAATGCATTTGAGATTTAAGCGCGCTCCGAGTGTAAATGACCTTTAGCTCTGAAGGTTCGAATGTAGAACGGTGGTTCGCCCCGTCATCGTTTGCGCTCAATTCGACCGGTACACGGTGTATGTGTGCATTTTAATTTGCTGCAATATTGAATTAATCACATTTGATGCAGTTGATTGAGGGTGATACAGATATGCACTTTATGCATTTGATGTGTTTCAAAACGATTTCACAATTTATTACAAGTTGATTATTCGTATGTCTCCGAAAAATATGGAGCAAGATTGATTTCTTACTCGAATTGAATAGAAAATAGTAAAATAAAAAATTGACTTACCGTCTCGGCTCATTCCGACTGCAATACATTTCTTTAGGCGACAATACTGACAACGGTTACGATTGATGCGCAGAATGCTGCATTGTTGGTTTTTCGTGCATGGACGATATTGAATCTTTTGTTGTATGGATCGTCTGAAAAATCCCTGTTTATCGAATAACGTGATGGTGGAGAAAAGAAAATAATTCAAAATTAATCATGTGAACTAGGTTTGAAAAAGGATATCCGAAAAGTGGAAAATCATAAACAAAAAAAAACACTCTAATTACATTTGAAAATTGATCGATCGGTTACAACGGATTAAATTGAAAAGGAAAAAAAGAAAACAATGTGTTCATAATTAATCAGTTTGTATGCTGCTCGCAATAGAGATCAAAACACAAAGTCCCATTAACATTTCAGTGTATATGCGTGCAAAAGTATCATCGTATATATATCTTTGCTCGTTTCGCATATCGAATAGTGTATGCACCACTGGCTGCTGAGTACACCCAGAGCGCATACCATATGATTTTACTCTCCAGCCACCCACTCAGTACAGCTACCGAATGAATGTGTCGAGAGTGCGACGACCATACAAGTGCTCTTCCAACAGAATCATGATAAGAACACAACCAATGATAACTGCATGTGTTCAACATTGTTGTGTAGAAGTGAACGAACGAATGAAAGAAAAAAAAGTGTGCACATTGTGCACGCAAATCGTTGCAAAAGCTACGCGATGCGTACGATGCAAGCGAATGGGTAGAGAGAGAGAGCAAAGAACCAAAATCGCAAAGGCAATGCAATTCGTTGAATGCGCTCGCGAATACATTAACATTTCCTTATTGGGCCACTAGGGTTCTACGTACGTTCATCACGTTGCTTCTACGTGTGTGGATTCATCTAATGCAAATACTCGCTGGCCGCACTGTTGCTGTTTGCTGCCAAACATGTTCTGAACGTTGTTGGCAAACGTTAGCGTGTGTGTGTTCAATCCACACACTACCGATCAGCGCACACACACTGCCGTCCATGTGCTCATGGGCTGCTATGTATTCGTGTGCGCTTTGTACAAACACAAAACTTTGCTACATATGGATGTTGTACGCTTATGTGTATAGAATAAGTTCGCTCGCGAAAGGTTGAACGACCTCGCTGCAAGCTTTCAGACTCGGATTGGGTCAAAAGGTGAATGCAGTTCATTAGACTCTTAAACCATTCTATCATGTGCGAGCATAAGCGCATGGCTATGCGAAAGCAAAAAAAAACGCAATTTGCAAGCTCAGTTTCAGGTCCATCCAGTCAGCCAAAATATGCATGCTTTGATAATGATATCTATCGTCATAACAATTAATCGGACGGATTTTTTATTACGAGTTGTCAATGCCCTAATACTCATCTCTTATACTTTATTTAGTTTTTTTTTTAAATTTTTTTTTTCTCTTATTGAACGAATCAGTCGAAATTAACAGAAAAAAGAGAAGACGCAAGACAACATCAAATACTTTTAATTTTTCTCTCTGTGTCAATTTGTTGAATTTTCATGAGTTAAATTTAAGCTAACATTGAATAATTCAAAATCGTCAAAAAATAATAACATCAAATCTATCGGAATCGATCAAATCGTCTATTCAAAGCAAATATAATATGACAATAAAATGTTTGCTGGAAATTTTGTTCGCTACCACATTAGTTTTCGATTTTATTAGCGAAGCAATTTGAAATGGTTTCCTCCGACAAAATGGAAAAGTTTCAAGCAAGAAAAGTGTGTAGGTATGATGTGCAAACGAAATAAAATGAATCAAAAAATGGATAAGCAAAGAAACGAAAACATTGAAATGATTTCTTCCCCTATCAATAATGAAATAAATATGGTTAGCTGAATTGGAGTGTGTGTTTTTTTCTTCTTCTATCGTTTGACGGTCTCTTAACCAGAGCTATAGAGCAAATATTGTCTTCGATGTTTGTGTGTATGTGTGATATACAACTTACGTCTTGTTCAGAAAGGTTTTCATCGAATTTTTTACACAATTCGCTGATATTTTCCGGACAATCGCTATCACAACCCGAATCGGTGCCATTGTTCTGTCCGCTATGGAAACTCTTGTGCTTCTTTGTTGATGTGCCAGTGTGGTGATGGTGATTTTCATGCAGTTCATCATCGTCGTCTCCATCGTTGCTGGCACGTCGCCATGTATTATAGCATTCGCAAATGTTTGAATTTTCATCGTTTTCGCCGTTATCATCGCTGATGTCATCGCCAGCATCATATTCGCCATCATTGTTGTTACTTTGTCTAAACCGATGATTGGAATGATCAGAGATTTAAGATACAATCCATCGATTGGATGTGAGACCAAACGCACAACCAATTGCCGCAATTGTTCAGTCAGTCTATCAGTCTGAAGAGGTATCCGGAGTGTGTGTGCGCTTGCTTTGGCGGCGATGAGGTGATTTGATCCTGAATATCCGTGTATTATCAATCAAAGTGGATTTCAATTGATCAATATACACCCTGCGCGCTTCTGCCCTAACACACAGACACACACACACACATACGTCCGCACCAGTTACTTGACTGTCCAATTCGCGGTAATTGAGAGCGGGCCACAAATCATGTCGAAGAAGAGTCTTGCTGCATCGCTGATCAAACACTTACATGTTCAGGTTAATTGTGGGTACGGTTGGTACTGTAACGGTGGTAATTCGATCCATTGCATCATCGTCCATCTTAATATTTTGTGACTGATGCCATTCCCGTGCAATTCTCGTTTTCTTCCATGGGCATATGATTTCCGCTTCGCTGGCATTACTACTGGCACTACTATTACTATTGCAGCCCATCTCCTCATCGCTACTCTTATCCATATCACAATGTGTATTGATAGTATTTAGATGCTTATTTCGCTTACGATGATAATTGTTTTGTTGGTTAGTCTGATTCACTAGTAGCATAGTTGTTGTTTTTGTAAACGATTGTGGTACCGTTGTGTCTGTTGTGTTTGTCGTCGTCGCTATCGTCGCGGTTGTTGTCGATGTATTCGATGGGATTGGTGCCGATTCTAAAATTTTCACTAAAGCACTATGCGTCTCTTTTAATTGACTGCTCTTACCACTACTACTATTCAATTGCGAGGAAAAGTCTCGAAACGGTGGAGACATATTTTGGACGGACGCCGACTTGAGGCAGTCGGTCGTCATCATCATAGAACACATTTGGCTATTAGTACCACAATTGAACTCATTCTGTTGCTGTTGCTGCTGTTGTTGTTGTTGCTGATGTTGCTGCTGATATATTGATGGCAACATAATCACTTTATTTTGTTTTGCCCTTTTTTCCTCTTTCTACTTTGCAGTCAAACGACGAGAAATAATTGTATTTTTTTCAAACTTCTTTTGCTTTTCTTTTTTAAATTCGAACACGTCTAGTGTTAGCTAAGGATTATTTTGTGCTTGGGCGGTAACTCTACGAAATGCGATCACTTATTCAGTCAACATAAACTGACAAATCCAGAATACGCAGGATATTGCCTAACAATTTCTTATTACTTTGAACGCGGCGGTCGCGATTGATTTTGAATTCGGCAAAACAATCGAAATATCTAGATAATTTGTTTAGTATTACTTGTTATTCGATGGGAGAAGAGGAGAATCGGTGCACGAAACCACAACAATTCGATGTTGAAATGATATTCGCGCGGTTTTTCCGTTTTTGTGAACACTTTACTGGTACTTGATGAATTTTTGTCAGATTTTTCGGTTGTTATTTTCCTTTTTAAATACACTTGATCAACGCCACGATATTGTGATTTTCTTTTACTCTTGATATTTTGAACAGTGCAACGACTTTTTGACTATATATTTTTCATTTCTTTTTTAAACAAAAATCAGATTCATTCTTTTCTTTTTGATCACTGAGAGAAAAAAAATTGTCTTTTTTTCTGGTTATAATATTTTTTTTCTTCTTATATCACTCAGATGCCGTCGTTTATTGTATTACAATTAATTGCTATGGTTTTTTGTTTGTTTTATTGAATGTTAGTGATGTGAGATTTTGGCTAATGTGTGAATGAACAAACGACGTATATGAACCACGGAACGAAATAAACAGACATTTATTTCATGTACGCGCTCAACCAGAGTTCATTTACGAATGTTACAAACGGCTAACTGTTTGCGTTCAATCAAGTTACAGTCAGGTCTCTCTCGTCGCTGCTAGACAAACCGAACGCTGTGTAAAAGCGAGCGTTTCCAATGTGATCACACGCATACATGCAAACGCTTCACATTAGCGCGCATACATACCATCAATTTGATATGAAGCGAATGGCCGAAGCGTTTGCTAGAAGGCTATATATGCGCTTGGCGCGTATACACTGGTGAGATTGTGTGAGTGCCTACATGTGCTTCTCGCAGCATTCTATCTCTGTTCGATGGAATGACCGTACTCGCTCGCACCACAAGCCGCACAACGCTGGTTGGCTGTGCTGTTGCCATTCATTCTGGCACAGTGGCGCACAAAACGAGACGCAACGATATGTACGGATGATGAGAGTTATGTAAAAGCTTTGCATTCGTTTTGAGTAGGTGACTGTGTTTTCGTACATATGCGATATTATTCCTAGTAGCCCTCTTTTCGCGCTTAATATTTCGCTCCAATCACTTTTGCACTGAAACTATTACGAAGGAATAGAGAGAGAGAGAGAGAGAGAGAGAGAGAAGAAAACTCATGCCTTTATTATTTGTCATCATCGGTTTGTGTGGCAATTTCTAATCTCAGCCAGTTCATTGCTCCTTTTTGCCAACCTGATCAATTCTCTAACATTATTATCATTTTGAATGGGCAAAGAGTGATAAAAAGTGAGAGAATTGTGCGCTTACAAACGAAATTTGTATAGGACATTTTTGATTCTTGATAAGACATTTGCAATCAAAGGAAATTCACTTCGATGATGTCTACTTTTCCTCATCTTCTTCTTCACAAATGATAAATTTCATCCCTGGTTTCTAATGGTGCTCAAATTTCATACAATATTTTCCTTTAATTTTTTTTTCTTCATCCCTCTCTCTATCGTTTTACGTCATACACACAGACACACACTTTTTGCATGTGGAATACAGTGCACGGGGAGAGCGAAGTATAACAAATTTTTGCCTCGCCACAAAGTACAATGTATAGACACTGCGCTCAGCGCGAACGTTCGTTCATTTGTTAGTTCAATGAACTCGCTAAGTCAGTGTCGATTCCAAATATCTATACACACAGTCACACTCATACATAGAAAAGCGCAGCCCTAAACTCACTTACAAACACACATCGATATCGAGATAGAGCGAGCGAGCGAGCGAGTGAGTGATGGAGAGAAGGAGAATGAAAGAGAGACGATGAGCCATACCAGGCGATTTGTTCGCACTGTATTCGTACATGGAGTCTCTGTTGTACATAAATTACGGGAGCCATAAGCGTTGAACAAAATATTTTGTCATTCATTTATACGGATGACTGTTATATATTCAACCATATCTATTCCTTTCGGTTTCATAGTGTTCGCTCTATCGCTTGAGTATGCTTCGTTATTAGTTGGTGTATCCCACTCACTCCTGTGTCCATGCAATGAACCCAATCGGATGAAATTTGAGAATTTTCCCTCGAAAAATTGAACCCGAAGAAGGAGCATATCATTGTCTTGATTTGCAATGAACCGTGTTATTTATATAAATATATGTGTGTATTGATATTCCGTTTGTTGAGAAGAAAAAAAATATGCAGTATGCATCATGCATGCTGTTTGAAAGATGCATGAAACGAAAAAAAAAAATTGTTGTAGCTGATCATGGTCGATTGTTGATTGGTTCTACTCGCATTGACTTCTTCTCGATTCGAACGGTCTAGCAAAGTAGCCGTGCACGCACACGCACATAGCGCTCGAGCGCACAATATGCAACCATTTCGTTGCAATTCGTCGAAGAATTGTCTAACATTTTTCTTTCTGCTTTCATCGCACATACATAATACATTATGAAAAGCAAAATCAAAAAGAAAAACAAACACACCGCGTGTTAAGACGCACGTTCGCACAACAATTTGTAGCAGAAACAGCAACAGCTCCGTAAATGAGTGAGTTATATAATTGAATGCTGCACAATTTTCAATTTTAACTCGTTTGTAATAAATTTAATGATTGCCTTGTCTTTCGTCCCGGTTTTGTATTATTATACTTGTACATATTTTTTTTGTATTCGCTCTCTCCTTCTCTCTCTCTCTCTGTCCATATTTTAATGTTTATTTTCACCATTTTTCCCTCTTCTTCTTCTTCTCGCGTTCGATGGTGCCGCAAGAAAATATGCGTGATAAATGCGATTATTGTCGTTTCAATATACTATAATAATTCAATAGGAAATTCCGTCGATTTTTGCATTTACAAATGTAAATTTCTTCGTTTTGCACATTGTTGTCAATCATAGGCACGCATATATGTGCGGAACCGACAAAAAAGTGCGTGCATGGCATATATATCATGGCAATGCCTCTTGTTTTTGTATGAAATGGTCATTTTGGTCCGATTTTCATCATCACATCCGGATGAATTGTTTTTTTCTTATTTTCATTTTATTTCATTATTATTTACTGTGTGTATGCGATGCAAAAGAAAAAGCGAGCGGCCTTTCACTTTGGCCAACCACGAACCATTTGAACTCGATTCAATGTCCAAAAATCATAATGATTCGTAGGGTCATTGATATGATTTTCGCTAGTTTTGTTTCTCTTTCTATGCAAAGCCAAAATGAAATGACCACCGGATTTCGGATCAATCATATGACGGCTCAACGAATCTATATAACCATTTCTTTCTTGTGCTCTCTGCGCTTTCGGCCCGATGTAATTCAGAAGTGACTTTTCTCTTTCGATTTATTTCTCTTTTTTTTTCTTCTTTCGTTGGGCTTTTTTTCTCTCTCCGTCCGTTTGTGTCGCTTTGTTTTCGAATTTTTATAGTGCAAATATTGAGTGGATTTCATTGTGTACGATTATACTTTATGTAAGTGTGCCCTCGGAATAGGTATGAAATATCGTGCTGTATGTTGAACGGCCCAGTTTCAGGTCAACTACCTTCAACTGCGAATATAATGAAAAACGAAGAGCAAAACGAAACGAAACGAAAAAAAAAATAAGAAAAAAATGAACGAACAAAACGCCAACAACAATAACATTAGCCAGCTCTCTTTCGTTCGTTCATCGGTTTGTACGTTCAAGAGCTAACGCGCGCACGTTCCCGAGCTAGCGATGTGACGGCGATTTTGAACAATTTAACGCACAACGTGCTACACATTCATATTGTACAGAGTACGCGCGCGCATATGCACATCGTTCTCATTGAACAAAATTTACACATTCAACAAAAAGCCACCGAGCAAAGCAAAGCACAGCACAGAAGACAGAAAAAACGACGACAACGACGACGACGACGCGCTTTCACAACTCTCGACGAACTCTGGGTGTCCCATGCAAAAATTCCGTCATTACATTCGCTGCAATGGAATTGATGACGAACATTTGATTTTTAAACGGGGACACACGGTCGTCGTCGTCGTCGTAATCGCGCCGAGCAGCAGCAACTGCCACTCATACTCGCTCACTCAGCTGCGAATAGATTGAAAGACGAAGCATTAAAATGCGTGCAATCAATTAGTGTTGCGGTACGATTCGAATGAAATGAAAAACTGATTGAAAAGTGTTGAGTTATTGCGTATGCTTTTTAGCATTGAATGTGTATGAGTTGAAGTCATTGATTAGCGTCTATTCAGAAGAGAAGAGAGAAAAAGAGCATATATTATGTTCGAATGCTAGCAGCAGCACCAGTAGCAATAGCACTCGACTTGAATTGCTTGAATGAATATGGAAATAAAAGTGAGAGGAATTCAGTTCGATGCGATCTTATCGATGCGATAAGCGCTCAAGTTTTATTTTTAAATTCAATGAGCTGTCGATTCTTCTTCTGACTGTCAATCAATTGAATTTTATCAGAATTCAAAGCATTTTTAAATACCCAAATTCGATTGAAATCAATCGGCGCATCTATTTTGTAAATTTCATTCCATATTGATAATTGTTTCGATTCAACGCCAAAATTGAGCACACACAAACAAATCATATCAGCCCAATTAATTCCATTTTATCACCATTTATTGCCAAATGTGATACGCCAAAGGAAACGAAGAGAAAAAAAAACGTCGACCTGTGCCGAGATTGTTATGCTCCCACAAAAATGTTGTGTCTCATTTTATTTCGAAGAAATGCTGTCACCCAGCATTTTCTGACACATCGAACTCTATTGCAAATATTGAGTGTGTACGAACGAAGCAAGCAAGTGAGCAAAAGAAAAATACGGGGCTTTTGCATCATCATACACACGAAGTGCACTGCACTCTGTGTGCGATTCTGTCTCTGTCACACTCTTGAGTGCGCGCGAACAAACGACAGTGTGTGTGTACATAGAGAAGGCCCCGTGTGCGCGCACATAGTACACATTGTCTAATGCTATGTGCATTAGATAGACAGTGGTGGAGAGCAAGAGAGCGAGAGCATGTGTTGTAGAACCTTCAAGGAAAAATCGAAGTCAAGTCAGTTCGTTGACCTAAATAAATTCCATTGGCTTATGTGTGCAGTGCCGCTGCTGCTGCTAGCTACAGACTGAGTTGAAGTCCCTAGTGAAAATCAGTGATGAACAAATGACTGACGATTTTTGATTGTGCGCTCTCAAATTACCATGTTTTACACAACAATTTGTAACTTTTCCCAACCGTTCAGCTCAGTTCAACTGTGGCTGGTGATTTTTTTCTCTCTTTTTCACTCTTTTTAATTGATAAACGAGCTTTTTTCGGAGTTGATGAGAACATCAAGAACGAAAACAGAAAAAAAAATAGAGACATGGAAGGCTATGCGTGATTGGCCAAGTTCTAAACGCTATTGAATCGATGCCAAATGATAAAATGTTCTTTTGGCAACGCATTCGGAAGTATGTATGTAAAAATTGTTGTCAATCTTTGGCCGGGCCATGTTCATGCTAATCTTGGCTTTTAATACGGTTCGTTTTGTGGTGCATAGACAAAGTTTCTACGGCAAACGGCGAAAATGTCGGTTATCTCGGCGAAAAATGTTGAGGTTCAAGTGGATTTCAAATAATTACAATATGGAATGTGAATTTACAGTGATTCGATTGAGTGCATGGAAGTTTTGAACATGAGCACTGATCGAGACTTGCATACTTGATATTGCATGTTCGAAAAACAGCACCGCGAACAAACAACTAAAAAAGACGCACATACAACAATGTGCATTGTGTGGTTCTAAGCTATGTCGTTCTATATGCAACGATATTCGCGCGCATGTGAGTTTAGTTCTTTTCTTCGTTTCGTTCTCTCTCTCTCTCTCTCTCTCTCTCTCTCCCGTTCGCCTTCGTATTTGCCCGGTCATTTGATGCGAATGCATGTACAACTGTGCAAATTCAAGTTGAATTGCAGCGCGCTGCGTTAGTGCTGGATACATTTTCGGCTGAGCATTTATTTTCTCTCTCTCTCTCTCTCTCTCTCTCTCCCTCTCTCTGGTTGTGCAACAGCTCACTCATTCATCGAGCACTGTGTTGGTGAGGTGAACGAACGTTCTGCAACCTTTCTGCATATATATGTATATATACATGTATGTATATATTCTCTGTACAGTTGTCAGTTGCACTATTGTCCTATGTAGTTCGACGTTGCAGTCGTTGCCGTTGCCGTTGCCGTCGTCGTTTTAGTTGCTGCCGCTGCAGCCGTCATCGTTCTTTGCCCGGTCTGACGTAGGATTTTTTTTTCAGTATGAAGAAGCCTATAGTTTTCAATGGAATAAGTTTTAAGCTTCATGTCCTTTGCTTATCGCTTTTATGTCTCTTTATCTATCTCTCTGTCGCTGGATGATTTATTTTGATCAGGCAATAATAAAGAAAATCAAAAATATAGTATCTCCTATAATCGCCTTAGGCATGTTAATTTTGCTGAGTGATTCAGCATTCAAATGTGTAGATTTTTTGCATTATTTTGCAAGATAAATTTCAAACAATTTTAATCTGTCAGCAGTCGTCAATACAGCACGGAATTTCGGTGAAATTGATTTTCAATATTTTCACATGGATCACATTGCAAATTCATTTCCATTCGATTCAATTCAATTTCCTTCCAATTCTTATTCCGATTGCACACGTTTCGATTGCAAAGTCAATATCCGACAACTTGGAATAACAATCCATGAATTTGGCCACATTTCACTTTGGCCACAATTCACAGTCACACAGCTTTGAATATTTATAGCGTATTTGGAGTTCAAGTCAAAGTGAAAACTTTTAATTAGGCTGTCAATTATGTTTGATGGAACCGATATTTCGGTCAATTCGAATGCGCACGCTGACTTTTGTCCATACCAGGGTAATGCTAATAATCCAGAGAAAAGGTTATAAATAGAGAGAAAACGAAAAAGAAATGAGCAAAAAAAAGAAGAAGAAGAAGAAGAAGGAGAAACAACAAAAAACACACAGCCAAGAAATAGAAAGAAAAAAAGCTAAACGTAAAACCAATGAAATTCTAATATTTTGATGGCGTGCGTTTTGCTACGCCGTATTTCGTGCGAAAAAACGTTGGGCGTATGTGTTCAGTTCAATGAACTAGCTCGACGTTGTTGTTTCGTCGTTGTCGTGCATTTTTTTTCTTTCATTTCATAATATTGCATCGCGATTTGCATCGCGATACATCTTGAGTTTTAGTGTAAGTGAAATGTGTGCCGCTT